CCGTTAAGTACTGTAATTTCTGGGAGGCCCTCCAGGGCAGCATCCTATTGCTAGCTTTTGCCCAACTATAGAAGACAAAGGAGCAAGGATTAATGCTTCTGAGACACCTTTCTTTTCATCTCCATACACTAGGGCCAGGGTACACACAGGGAGGTATAAAAAAAGATCTAACTGTCCAATAAGGTGTGAGCACCCTTGAGAAATAACACAGTTTTGAGAGAAGCTGAAAGACTGAAAAGCCCCTTGGGAATCCTAATAAAAGTACACCACTCTCAAGAGCAAAGGCGGTCTTTACAAGCACTGAATACAAGGATTACCAGAATAGAAGGACAAAGATGAATGTCTCTACTTCCAAAAGGCATGGGAACAATGCAGCATGAGAAACACAAGCTGTGAGGGATTTCTCTACTATTCTAGACAACATCTTCAAAAGGTAAAGAATTGTCACTGTCACATCTTCATGACTGGGCAGAGAACTACAGCTACAGAGAGGGGTAAAAGACATACTGAGATGGACAATGCTCTTAGTCGTATGGCTTAGTTTTAGGTAGTTCTGTGAGAAGCAGGAAGTCAGACTCAATGGTCCTTATGGGTCCCTTCCAACTTGAGAAGTTCTATGATTCTATGAGTTCTTTTTCCTCCCACAGTGATATCAGTGTGGCTGGTGTGAGGGGAGAACAGGATAGACCCTCATGCAGTTTGCAGTCTAAATTCAATGATGCAGATTAAAAAAATTATGAAGAAGGATATAAAGAAATGAGTGTTCTTCCACAGCTCCAGAAGGTGCCTTAATAACAGGCAATAGGGAAGCACAAGCCATTCCCTGCCAATCGCTTGAGTATCTTCCACTCTATTTAGCTAAGAAACTGAACTCTATTTGCTGTGCTAAGCTGATTTCAGGATATCTAGCTTCACACCACAAAAGCTGAGCAAACATCCCTAAAAATGGAACACAAACTAATCTGAAATTTTAATGGCAAAGGCCAGTGACAACAACCAGCTTTCACACCGGCAGAGTTTCACTCTACATCTTTCTCTTGATCTCTCTCCTTGCATGAGTCCAGCATACCCAGGAGCTGTCTGTGGCTTTTCTCTGTCCTGAAAAATCAAACTTATACTTATCTGTAGGTCTTGTACCTGAAGATTCAGTTTTCACTCAGGGGAAAGAAAAAAAATATACAGAAAAGAAGGAAAACACCCAAGGATGTTAGGCAGACTGCACCACACTCAGTGAGGAGATGCATGCAGACCAAAGTGGAACGAGGACAACAACCTCTTCTACCATACTCACTGTCTGCTATATGGGAGGTGGGTGCGGCAGTACTTGCTAAAGAAAGAGAAAGGAAGGTGAGGAAGGGAGTTGATTCCTATTTATTACTGCCAAAAGACAGAAAATTAAAACACAAATTGGTAAGATTTTGTCAAATCAAGCCCCTCTGGCCATAGAACTGAAGCAAAGTAAACACACTTCACCAGACCTGCATTTTGGCTCCTCTGTGAGTTCTTGCTTTAAGCCAACTTTCTGATCACACAGAAACTGGTCACTGAAACCACACCACTGTTGACCAGCATTCCTAGGAGTTCAAACTGATGCAGTTTAAGGCCAGCAGAGATGCTGTCCAGCACTGTGTGTATGGCAGCAAAACACAACCTATGTAACTACTGTTTTGATGAAGGCCATTGCTAACTACCCTACTGCCAGCTTAGGACCTGGTGGAATTTGGGCATTATTTTAATGTTGTTTCGTTGGTTTATTTTTTTGTACATTAAGATATTTTGCTATTCAAGCCAAACACACCATATACACACACACTCCTGTAGTTTAACACACATTTGGGTCTCACCTGCAAAACAGCAAGAAACAGCTGGGGCTCAAAAAGAAGCCATTCACAAGGTCTGTCTGCAGCCTTTGTTTGTCATTTCTGTGATCTTCAAAGCATACCAGACATGGGGACACCCAGCTTTTTCCTGCTTTTGACTTTGTGTACGAACAGGTAACATTGCGTGACTGGAATTCCAGCACAGATAAGAAAAGTGTTTCTGTTGTACCAACAGTCTTTTCACCATTGCAACCCAGTTCATGGTCCGAGATGGGCTTTGAGAACCCCAGAGAGTAGAAAAAGAATCAGAGAACCAAATGCTCAAAAGGATCACAGCTCACGGCACAAATGTGCTTGAAAAAGCATCAGCAGAATTTACAGCCCACAACAAAGGAAGAAGAATTGGAACTTACCCTACAAGTGAGGAGAGTTAGGGACTAGAGACTGATTGATAGCTGGTTGCCACAATAAAAAAAAAAAAAAAAAAAAAAAAGGCAAAAAACTCTACTACAAATGTGATTTAATGTTCTTCAAATCCACGTACCTGTCCCCAAGTGATGAACATGAGGCTTGGCAGACAGACGTGTCGGTGTGGCTGAAACAAAGCTTTTAATGCTCTTTTTTCCTCTCTTCTTAACTGGATCTTTTCCCTTTTCCTGTGGTACTGATCTGCACAGAGACTGAATACCTAAAGCCCTTCTCTCCCTTGTGTATCATGGATTATGTCCAATTCAGAAGGGCCTACCAAATCAATTGCCTGATAGTTATAATACTAACCATGATTAACTTCATGTAAGGGATGTAATACTTCTACTGAAATTAACAGGCTCCAAACAATTTAAGGCAATGGACTGTACATATCTTATGGAAACACGACTCCCACTTGACTCTTTGTAACTACTGCAATTTGCAATTCTGTCTATCCATCTGTCCATTCATTCGTCCACCTTGACCACCAATCCATTCATCTTGTTAGAGGTCCACTAAATCCAAGTTTTAACGTAACAAAATCTTTAAGGAAAAACAGCACAAGCATCATTCAAATCTTGTAATTAGCTTCAGAAATCTCCAAAGAAAGCAACAGCAGCTTCACAAAGCTTGCCCATGTAATCTTGGGAGTATCAACAGTTCACCACAAGGACACATATGATAAACAGAATAATGCTCACTTAGATAAAAAGGTTTCTTTTAGCTACCATTGATTAACTCCAATTTGAAAGGCACAAAGCTATGGAGCATAACATGTTTCACTGAACCCAGCTGATAATTAAGCAGATCCATCAAATCTCTAACTGACTTTGCATTGGGTAGGGGAAAACATGCTTTTTTTATTTAGTACGAGGTTTATTTATTTGAGTATACAATCTATGCAAGTGCTGGAAGACTCTCCAAAGACCACTAACAGTAAAAATTATTAGCGAGAAGAAGCAAAACCTGAAATTTTTCTCTAAGGTTTTGCTGTCGAAATTGTGAAGATATTCAAAATTCTGAAGTTTTTTGTTGGCTTTCAATTGGTCTAAACCAGATCTGCAATTCATTTTTCCTTTGTTTTTCCTCCCCTGATATTATTTAATTGCATTAAAAATTGAAAATTATTAATTGATTCATAAACATGAAGCCTTCCACTACTCCACTCTCTACTCAACATGCTAACTATTATTATTAGACAATCACTACGTTAAGTATTTGAATTGCATGCTCTACAATAAAGACAAAGATGTTAACCCCTAATTCTCTTCTGAATAGAGCAGTATTACCCACAGTAGGATGGCTATTCTAGTGTCAGTCTTGTTAGGAAGTGGACAGTACCAGTTACTTCATTTCTAAACACCCTGAGAGGAAAAGGTACTAGATTAAAAGCTAATGTTATGTATGTTAGAGGAACACTCTAGAAACATAAAAAGAGAGAGAAAGAAATGCAGAGAGGCACTTACGTGGGTGAGGGATGCCTGCAGTTTTTCCATGGATGGAACACAGACAAAAAGAAAAGACGGAGATAGAAAAACAAAAAATAAATGTAGAAGAGATGAGGCGATAGAAAACATAGAGCTGGAAAATCAAAATGCCACCAGCTGTCTCAAATCCAACCCTAGGGACTGGGGTAGGTTACAGGAGTTATCACAACAGACCAGACATCAATTGTGAGGGCTGGCTTAGTGCAGAGGGCCTGGGATTTCCAAGCATCAAGGCATGTGTACTGTCCCATACTGCTCAGCAATTCTGGTGAGGCAGAAGTTGGCACACAAAATCAAGACCATGCACAGATCACAGGGCCTCAAAGCATGCACATACACGGGCTAGGAATATTGCTAGCTTTGAATTCAGGAGAAGGTCCTGCATAGTAGTTTCTGAAGAGCTGTGAAACAGATACACAAGTGTAGGTGTGATAGTGGGAAGAAGAATAGACTGTAGATCTAAATGCAAGGGAAATGGGAAAGAACCCCAGGGGTTGCGGGCAGCTTAATACAGTTCCCAACTTGGATGAGGCTGTGTACAAAGGTAAGAGATGTCCTCTCCCTGGCCTGCTTTTATTATAAGTCCCCTACCCACTCTACACTGGCTTTTCCCTCCTTCTCTCCTTCCTGTCTTGAATTTCTCTCTGGTTTTTAATACTTGCCTCTTCTGCTCCTGGTTGAAACAGGAGGGAAAGGCCAGAGCAGAGCATCCTGATTACCCAAATAATGCAGACAAGAGGCTGTGGAAATCACCTTGCATGCTGCATAGCATTTTATAGGAATGATTTGCAGACAAGAGAAATCCCTTTCCCTCCCTTCCACAGTTCATGGCCAGTCCTGTGCTGAACCTCTTAACTTCTGATTTGCAAAACAAACCTGCCTTGTGGCAATGACATTACATTCTCTATGACCAATGCCCTTTCCAACTCATTGCTTTTTCTTATTACAGCTTTCTATTGCATAATCCCTTCTCTTAGACAATACAAAGTTTATAATAGTAACTCATGGCACAAACTAGTGCAGATAAAATAGTTCCTCTGCCTCCTACCTTCAATGAAGATTTTTAATTAGTAATGAAATTCACTACAACCAAAAATCATAATAAAACAAAGGGTGTGGTAAGTTCTGCAAGAGAAGAAGGTGTCATTCATGCATGGCAGAAATTCCCTGGAGAAATGCAAGGAAAGAGAACCAGAGAAGCAGAGGAAGACTCAGTTTTACTTACGAACTGGTTGTGTCTTGAAGTCGGATGGCAGGCTAATCTCACCCACGCCCTTGCCATTGACAGCAGACAGCCTCACAGAGTAGGTTGTTTCAGGTTTCAGGCCAGTGATAGTGATCATGCCCTCCACATTCGCTGTTGCATAAATGAGAGGAGGAAAAACAAAGAACAGGCTCAGGCTTCAAGTCAACAACAAATGCCATGTTTCTATCGTATACTTAGCTGCGTTCACCATATGTACCAGGCCCAGCCTCACATAAACAGTGCAGCCAAAGAGAAAGGTCAGAGCTACCACCTTTGTGTCAAACAGCTGATTAGAGAAGTGTATTGCCACAGTCTCTCCAGAAGGGATGTAGCAGAGTTTTTGGTAGCCAAGATCACTGTCATATGGGGCTCGAACTGTAATTGACATACCACCTAAAGCCACTCATCTGTTGGGCTGCATCATCCAACTGAAAGCAAAGCCCTTAGCAGGAGAGAAATCCATCCCTCCTCTTTAACAATATATAAGAAGGTCATATACAACCTATGAGATGGAAAGAACCTGCTGTGGGGTCACTGTGATATGAAGAAAGAAATAAGTTCTATTTTTCCTGCACAGACACAAAGGGAGAAATGAGAAAAAGAAATGTGACTCTAGCTATGAACACATCAGTCTCCAGTAGGGACCTAGAAGAAGAATTTCCGCTCCAGCCAGGACTGGTGGTGGCAGATTCAGCTCTGAAATTGATCTCTTGTCTTCACAGTCCTCCCAAATCAAAATTCCTTTGGCTTACTGGACTTAAGGATACGTTTTAAGCAGTGTGTATTCTTACAGATGGCTATAAATGAGACAGGGTCTAATGGGAGTTAGACTTGCTTCTGGACTATGAGGGTTTATGTTCTGAAGGGTAACTAAGAGGGCCGAAAGACAAGGCTTGGAAAGCCTAGAAAGCACACAGTCACTCCCCAGTCAGGAAGTGAAACCTCAGTCAATACCAGGCACTGGGTTCTTCACCTCATTCAGACAGAACAGTGTGAACAAGGAAAAGAAAAACATAGTGATGCTGCACATGCTCTGTAGATAGAGAAGGCTGGTGCCCTGTCATATACATAGAGCTATGAAATGGAAATTCAAGATGTCACTGCAAAGCAAATGTTTTAAGAACTTGTCAGGGGCCTTAATTTAGGAGCTGAAATTACAAAGCTATGGAACCCTCCACTCTGGCTTTCCCCTAAAGGAAAGAAAGCCTTCTGAGATGCAGGTGGGGGAGGTAACGTTTTACCATCCTACCTTCTTTTGCATCATACAGCCTTGAATGCCATTCTCCCTCGCCCAGTGCCCTCCACTCTGCTTTGTACTTGAGGATGGGCACCCCACCGGTAGCTTCAGGCTCATCAAACTCCACCTGGGCAGTACTGGAATATGGCTCCACTCTGTCAATGGAAGGAGAGGATGGAGTATCTGGGGAAAGAAGGGAAAATAACCAATGATGCAGAAAACAACAGGAAATAAGCTCCAGTGGCAAAGAAAACAGAAAACTGGGAATATCAAACATATCCTTGTGATGGCTTCACAAAGGAGAGGGGATGCGTAGGCCTGAGGCTCCCCTCAGGAGGGGAAAACTGTTAAGAGGTGCTAATTAGACAGCAAAGATACCTTCACCTTGTCCCTCCTCTAAAAGGCTGGAGACATCAAGTACCTTCTTCAAAAGAGGACAACCAGAGCAGAGTAGCAAGAGCATCCTGGATGCTACTCTATCCCTACAGTGTCTTCCAATACATAGCTTGACCATTCCTAAATCTGTCCTTAGGGCAGCCCTGAGAAGACACGAGAGGCCCTTCCAATCTGCCATGTAGTGAGACACCTAGCCTCTTCAGTTGGCACACAGTGCTCTAAGGTTTCAATCTTGCACTACCTGAACTACTAGGGATATTCACTAATTTGGAGAAGCACACATGCACACTTACACACATATGCAGTGGCCATCAGAAATCAAGGATCACAGCTGTGTTAAAGTGCACTGGAGGCACAGAAAAGAATGAGACCCTTAAGATACAAGGAAACAGAAATATTGGAGAATCTTATTATCTACAACCCATCTCAATGCAAAAATCTATGTATGGTCACCTCTAAAGTAGAAGCTGGGTCTCCTGCTATCCCACCAACACAAACTGGAAAAGAATAGTCACTGTTACCTCAGCTCAAGGACTGCATATGCATTTCCTTATCTCCCTGCCTGGGATGCTCACCTGCCTGCACGAGAATGAACTCTGAGGACTCCTGGCCAATGCGGTTCACAGCAGTGCAGTTATAGTTCCCAAAGTCATTTTCAGAGTCTGGTGTCACCTGTGGAAGGAACAAAGGCTCGTGCTCAAATCAGAAAACACTTTCCACTCTGCATTTTGCAGGAGAGAGAGAAGCCACTATAAAGTACATGTGCTAACACTCTGATGGCTGCCCACAGAGGAGAGCACTGCAGCGGGCAGGAAGTCAAGGGCAAGGAAGGATGGTGTCTTCTATCACCTGACTTCTTAGCAACTTTTGGCCTACCCACAGCGAGCCCTGACAGAAGACTTAACTCCTTCAACATCAGGAACATAAATTATTTGATAGTACTGAGCCTTCCTTGGCTCCATATGCCTTCTCCTCTCCTTGCTTTTGCTCACCTCCAGATAGCTTGCTGATGGAGTGTTGTAGATCTTGATGTTGCTGAAGTTTGAGCTGGGAAGCAGCTGTCCATCGCGGAACCAAGAGATGACAGCACTGGGGTAAGCAAATACCTCACAGGTGATGTTCACTTGATTCCCTTCCCAGGTATAGACAGCCACAGGGCCCTGAAGTTTTGGGGCATCTGAAAGACAGACACATTTGAAAAGGCAATTTGAGCCAGAAAATCTCCTAAAGTAGCCCAATCTCCTTCACTTTAAGGATACCTTGGCTGGGGTCCAGTTTAATGTGCGGAAGGGAATCTACTAAGGAAGTGCGAACTGCCTTCTTATCTTAGGGGGGTGGGGTGAGCAGTGTCTTCTGCTGAAGGATGTAAGAAGGAACGCTACTCAGTCCCAAAGGCTGCACCTAACACAGTGTGGGAGGAGGAGCATACAGCATGCTACGTATCTAGAGAAGTGCATAGCAGGAGGTTCCCCTAGGGAAGAACTATGATGCACCCAACAAATATGACTGCAGTGGATTCATGGCCCATAATCTTCCCAAGATGCAAACAGTATCCCGCTACCCAAACAACACATCCCTAGCTGTAAGTGCCCTGTCTCATCAGAGGAAATCAAAATAGTCCCCGCTCTGAATACATGAACACCTTCCCCACCCCATTCTCCAATTCTTACACTGCACTTCAAGATACATGGCTTGGGAGTCCTGCCCGATGGTGTTGCTGGCTGTACATACATATTCTCCGGCATCTGTGTATTGAATGTCTTTGAGAGTCAGGGACGACACCCGGGCATGGCTACGTACTACGATGCGCCCATCCAGGGTCTGGCAAGAAAGGAAAAGAGAATTAGAGGCTGAGCACCGAGCCTATGGATGCAGACTAAAAGGCCTGGGAACAAGTGCCAGTCTCCCTCTAGTGCTCCTTACTTCAGAAGTGATCACCTGAGGCCAGGTGAAGTCATGGGCATAGAGAGGCATTTCCAAAAGCAACAAGATTTCTTGTCGCCTGGGGCCAACTGCCAGTGATCCAAAGCACCCAGGAGAAGGAAAAAATATGAAACAAAGGACCAAAGCATCAGATGCTACTACGTGTCTGAGGATAACATCAAGCTTCTTTCCAGAATGGGAACTTTTGCTGCATGTTCTCATATAAAACCTCCTGAATGGCTATTATGTTTCTCTCCAATTTGTGACCAAAGGCCAAGTGCACCATGAAGCCATGGACTCACCCCTCCACCTTGTGCTTGTGTTTCAGCTTAGAAGCTTTATAGCACCAACTCTCTCATCTAGTTGCCAAAGTGGCACAAGCACAAGTGAATAAATCAGGAACCCTCATCCTCATGGCTGTGCCTGCTGCTGCAGCCTGCCAGACTTAATGCAATTAATGCTCCAAGAACATCAATTTTCCTGGAAGACACAGGACAAGTACCGAGATTATAAGTAACAGCCACGAGAATATATTAAACAGCCAAATGCACCGAGCTGTAGCACTAAGTACATCTCTGGTATCTCAACTGGTCAGATCCTCTGGGCCTGAAGCCTCTTTCTGTTCCAAGTTAGTGGTCTTAACCTCCAAGACTGAGGAAGTTTCTACCAGTAAATGTTAGTATAAACTCTGTTAGTATAAAAATAGCAGAATACCAGCACATGATCATTACAGCAAAGGTAATTTTACACCCAGTGTCACTTGCCTTTCCCCCACTTTGTCAACATCTAATACAAACAAAAGAGTGCAAGGTAGTCATGGTGAAATGGTAACTTTACAAGTAATGTGACCGACTCTGAAGATGAAGCTCTGTTTCTTAATGCAAAAGGCTCAAGGAAAGAAAAAGAAAGATCTAGAAAAACACTCCAGTGAAGAAAATGAAGAAAAAAACGTCTACCCAAGAAAGCATGTTTTCTTTACTCATATTTCACACCATCAGATGCTAACAATTCCCGGCTATTAAAGACATAGGATAGGTAGAAATCTGTGAGCCATAGGCACAGACACTTGCCATCCCTTCACCTAGCATCTTTGATTTTGGGGACTGTGGATAAAAAAAATGCTTCATGATAATAGGGAGACAACCTAGGGGACACAGGCAACATAACTCATGCCATAACAACTGCCACTTTACAGAAAAGGGTATGATAGTTCTCTATATTGCCAGCTACTACAATTTATCCCAAGATACATGCTGGTGTTTTTCTCCAAATTCTGACAATACCATGTGGCACATAGTCGTGATGTACAAAGCTGGCCTAGATTTCAATACTTCAGTGCCAAAGGGGAAGAAAAGAGACAAGTGGGAAATGCATTTCACCCCCTCCCCTCCACCTTCTGGACTTTGCAGTCTTTCCACAAAGAAGTATCCATGACTTAATTTGATACAGCTGTATCTTCACCTCACCCACTTTCCACACATCATTACAAAATGATCTGGACATTACACCTGAAAGCCTGACCACTGCTACGAATTCCATTGGAGGAAGACAAGTGGTCTCGCTTAGCTCTGTGCTTGCACTGCACTAAGCAGAACTCACCTGCAGCTCTTAATATTTGCAAGGTCACGCTAATTCCCATGTACCAGAAAGGCATCACCAGTTTCTGGTGTAACAGAGGTGTAATTTTGCTTGTAACTGAGTTTTTTAGCATCTGCTGGTGATAATGTGAGGTATGTTAGTGTATGCTGGTAATGACTTTCAACAATTCTCCAGTATAACAGGACTACAATGGTGAACTGAGACACAATAGGCTGTGTCTAGTAAGTAGAGCTGAAAGTGGTTTAGAGAAGAAGCAGCCCATTGCAATTGTGCCTCCAAAGCACGACTTAACACCCATATATGCTGCTATGGCTGAAACTCATAAAGACTTCCTTACTTTAAACTAGCAAATGAAAAAAAAAAAGTGAAACACCCAATGCCAAGTATTCACTCAGCTTCCTGAAGAACTGAACTCCCTGCTGCTGGAATACACTACTAAAAGACCCTGTGCTACAAGCTGCAACAATAAGCTTCAACAACGTTCTCACAGAACCTCACTTGGGTGTTTTAAGACATGGATACAATAAGAAATTTATAAACAGCAAGCTTAATATTAATGCTCATATTAATAAAAAGCTTGAGACAGAGAGCACAGTATAAACACTTGGGGGGTGAGAGGAGACAGAAAAAACTGTAATAGGAGTTAACATGAGGCCTGAAAAGATACAACTACTTGAATTCCAAGTTCTTCTTCCAAAATGCAAAGTGGTGGGAATATCCAATGCCTTCATTTGTCACAATTCATCTATTCCAACAGATTATTTTGAAGTAAGAATGGGCAGAATCTTATGAAACAATATGCCCCACATGAAACAAAGGCAGATGATGCTTAAATCAGAGGTTTGCTTTGTCTATGCCACACCAGTCTCTATGTTTTAAGATGGCTTAAAAATAATAAAAGAATTCAGGATACCCAGAGCCTCCACAAAGTCCACCTAAAAATACAAATATGAGTCACCCAGTTCTGACAGCTAATTTTGTTCTTTATCTGACCCCTATTATTTGCTTGGAAACATACTTTCTGGTCCATTTTGAAGCAAGAATGCTACAAATCAGGTACATGCAAAGGTAGGTTGTTGTTATTATTTTTAAAATACAGCACTGAGTGTGAAATAAAATGGCAACAAACCACACTTGCACTGAACTGAGTTACTACACTATTCCCCACCCCCTCGATGACCCTGCAAATCAAGGAAAAATAAGAATAAAGAAATTTGGAGCATGTTCTGGAGAAACAGAACTTGTGAAGTATTTATCTGCATTGATTTTGAAATGGAACACGATACCATGAGCAAACAGATGAGTTGGCTGGAGCAGAAGAGGGTCTTTGGGAAAAAATACTTTCTCACAATACACGTTGTTGCTAGTTCTTAAAACTCTAGAAGAGAGATATGATTCACCCTGGTAGCTTAGAAGAAAATGGTGAAAGCACTATTTGTCAGATTTTACATTTGCTTTTGGTTTTAGTTGTCTTTTTTTCTCTTTGTTTTTTACTCACTCCCAACACAGCTAGTTTGCTCATCCAAAAATGCATTACTACATGCCAAGCAACTTCTAACTCTATAAGCTGTTCCTTTTATGTACTGATATTTAATTTGTTCATATTATTAATGCTGGTTTAGTTGGCATGGTTACTGGACTAGAGATTTGTTAATCTGTAATGCCTAAAAAAAAAAAAACTGAAACCAAATAACTAAGAAGTTTGCTAAAGGTCTGGTAATCTTATACCTCTTGTTTCTCGGGCCGGGTCCACGAAGCCTGGAGAGAACAAATATGGAACACAACAACAACAGGAAAAAAAGCAATAAAAGTTTATCACAGGTTGCTTTTAGGTATCATATTGTATGCACCACATTGCGTTCTGTGCACATGCAGTCTCCAAGTTGTACATCTCACATGTGTGGGGTGATCACAATTTCCATTTCCCACTATAACCTCAATTTGGTTTTGCATTCAAAATTTATTATCCTATAAATTAGTCTTTAAATGATTAAACAAAAGCCAAGGATACCTAAAGACTGCTTCTGGTTTTACATATTAAGTGACTATTTCCCTTGTCACATCTCATCATTTTCAGAAACCTCTTCCAAGCATACTGGGGAAGTGATTCTGATGACCTATGGCACTAAATTGCTAAGATAGTTATGGTACTGGTTTTCTAACACTGGCTTTTTAGCTACCCACACACACTGATTAACACTCATATTCTTAATGGGATCATGCATTTGTAGACATTTTTACATGCATACTGTGCCAGGAGTAGGAGACCCTGAGCTGCAGAGCATTGAAACAGTATGATCCCCCTGGACAGGAGACAGCAGGGCAGAACCTTGTACCTCTAGTTGACAACGTCCAGCTCCTTATGCTTAGGGATATGTGCAATCAATCCTTACTGGACTTGGGACAACCAAACAACAGACATGAAACATGCACAAACGTTACCAATAAACATACATTTCCCATTCAGAGAAAGCCATCTACAGTTTGGACCATATTCATTATAGTTCAGAAAGGTACAAAGTTGCTGGGTTCTGGTTTTCCCCTATAATTTATCTTTAAAATATTTTTCTTCTGGTCTCTATTTCAATTTCAACTTTATCCATTTCAGTTCAGGAGTCAAAAATCACCTGCTAATATCACAGCCATGATGGCATTATTGAATGTGAGGCACAAGCACTGCTGACATGGGGATATAACAGCATACACAAGAGTGACATTACAGAAATGGAGATGAAAGCTTAGGAAATTAGAATAAAAAACCCCATAGCATTATTTCCACAGTGCTTCTAGTGAATATCATGAGAGTATTAACATATGGTACAGACAGCCTCATTTTAGACTGTCTTTGATAAAGGCAAGTTACTTGCTTGTAACTAGAAGCCTGAGGTGAAGTCACCTGAAGCAAAGCTCACCAACACCTGCATGGGTAGGACACCCTCATCATCTGATAATTTCTGTGTGTGTGTATCTATATCTGTATCTATATCTATATATCTCCTATTGTGCACAAGTTCCTTGAAAGCTGAACAAGCAACCGTAGTAGTTCAGCATAATCCCTTTTTGATGTGCCAGTCACTCTCTGTACCTGAGCAAGTCAAGCTATCAAGGGAACTGCTTTGCTTATATGCATGCAAGTCCCCTTTGAATCCTATTCACTGAGTATGGTGTTAGCACAGAGGGATTAAAAAAAAAAAAGAAGACAACATCTTTTTATCCTTTGGTGTTCAGTACCTGTCAATCTAAAGGAAGAAAGAGGAGAATATAAAAGCCTATTCCCACACTCCTAGGGCACTCGGTGTGGGGGGGAAAAAAAAGGCAGAACCACATTCTCTATCCTGAATAATTTAATACTAACTCTCCCTCACGAAGACAAAGAGATACACAAGCTCTACTCAGCACCATGCAGGGGTCAGAGAGGTACCAAGAGCCTCATGCATGCTAGCATTTTATCTTCCCTTCGGAAGCAAGTTGTTCTATGGGAGCTTAAATTAAATTTTGAAATCCTATGTGAGATCCTATGTCACAGATATACATACTGCCACCTCTGGCAAGATGATAAAAGACCTGCGTACAAGCATCACTTGGCACCCCTCCCATTCCTCACACACTGAGCTATACTGCTGGGTAAGAAACCTAGGACTGTCCCACTACTGCTTCATCCAAGTGTGTACATGAGTGCTCAGCAATTGCCTCATTCAAAAATCTGACAGGAAATACACTCATGTCTGCATTAAGAATGGAAAACTTGTATACTCCAGCACACTACACATCAAAACTATACTTCCTGACTCACAGTTAGTATTCTGCTAGAGCAATAGAAAAGTCTCTTGAAAGGGCATGAAATATACTAAAGGTGATGAGGAACATGTCATACTGACTTGAACAGCTCCACATATGGTATCATGCAAAGAGAAAGCATTCCTACTCCCTACAACAGCACAGCAATAAATACATGAGGTAAGATAAAGCCAAGCCATTTCAAATCATCATGTTGATGACTTTCCAGGCTGCCAGCTTACTAGTAAGAGGAAGCTTCCATCATGCCAGTATTTGGAAGTTCTGTCTGCTCATCCGTGTTGGTATACAGTTGCCAATCATCTGATCTTGCTAGAGTACAGTCACAATGACTGTATTCAGACTTTCACAGACCATCCTCTAAGCAAAAGATTGTTTGTTCAAGAGGTGCCACATTATGTAGGCATAGCCAGAGAGAGAAGAATCTTTTGCTATGCATGCCAGGATATCAACAGGTCTGCTCAGGGAAATGTGGGAATGTTGAAATAATTGTGACATTGTCAACATCCCCCACCTTTTCCACACATCAGGCTGTCTCTGTTCTTGGATAAAGACTAAGAGGGTGAAGCCACTAAGCAAAGATGGGTTTTTTTTGTTTGTCTGGGGGTTCTGGCTTGGTTTTTCTGACATACCAAATGTTCACGGGAGTTAAGGCACCTCTAGAGCTTTTAAAACCTGGACTGAAGTATGACTACAAAAGTAAACAACATGTAGCAAGACAAATGCATCCAAGTACCTAAAGCATAGTCAAAAGTAGGGCTTGATAATTTTAAAAATAGTATTGTTTGTCCTACACCAAAGACCATCTATTTCCCTGTGCAATACCAGAGATAGTAAGTCAATAGTAAACTGAATATATGCATTTGGTTGTACATGTAACAGAATGTTTTTCAGACCTAATGTGACCTGAGGATTTTCTGGACATCTATACCATTCACCTAAACTTTCAGCACATGATAGAGAATGGGGAAAAGTAAAAACCAAACCAAACCACACACACAAAAAAATCCAGCCTAGAAAGTGCATGATACATGATAAAAATAATCTTTGCCCTGAAGGTTTGAACCAGTACATAAAACATAGGTTAGTATCTCAAACATCGGATTTTGCCCCCAATCTATGTAAGAATCTATCAGAGTATTAACGTTTTCCTTAATATTGACCACCAACTTAACAGCATCAAGGAGGATATATGAATCTCAAAAATGGTTAGCAGTTTTGCTGCTGAGATCTTGTTAGTTTAATTGGGCTGGACAGATGGGACTCTCTGCAAACAGGCTCTCTGACAAACTTCTACTTGATTTAGTATTTTTTCAGATTCTCTATTCCTCTCCCTGTCAAAGCTCTTTTCTGTTGCTGTGATCCAAACTCTAGTGCTAGAAGCCCTAGAGCACTTAACTCCTCCCACTACTCTCCTAGACAGAGATGAGATCATGAATAAATAACCTTATCCTATCAAAACAGGTACCCCAGCCATGCTGTATTGAGAACCCAAGCCGACAGCTTTTGAAGGCAATGGAAACCGCTCTCTATAAACACTGCAGGGATTTATGCTAGTCCTCAGATCCAAAAGATGTTAAGAAAGAATTAAGGCTGGAAACCCTTGGCACCCTGATTGATAAGTTACACATTAACAATGTGGTGAGCTGACATCATGGATGCCAATAAAAAAACTCATTTAGGAGGCTATGGTGCAGAATGGCAGCTGTGTAGATGACTTAACAGCAGACACCTTTGTCACTTTAAGACTTTTATAGTCTGTATCAACTGGCCTTCATACTGAGTCAGAACCACTAGATGTCCAAGCTAGCTGAGCATTGAAGCATCCTGTTATTGGAGGATTATTAATAAGCAACAACTTCTTACTCCAGCTTTTGGCTAGGCTTCCTTTGGCTCTAAACTATGCTCCTGATCACCTTATGCAACTATTATGAAATATCAACATTAATACAGCACACCCTCATCTCATCTAGTTAAGAGGAATTATGGCCAATAAAAAAAGAGCACTCTTTTAAAAGAAAAACTGCTAATTATTTTTGCCTTTAAGAACAAAATGGTGTTGATGTGATCAACAAAACAGGTGAACACAAAGGCAGCCAGGCTTTTGTGCTTCGGATACATGCAGTATTAGAATACAGTACAGAAGGAATTAACAGGCTCATTTTGGTCCACTGCATCTTTGAGAGATAACACCCCACACCTCTCCACCTGCCACCCTCCCAGATCATAGCATCATCATGATGTCAGCATAGACAGCACTGGAATCAAGGTGCTCATTCCTACCTCAGGTTGGAAACACATGGGAAAAACCCTTTCACAAGCTTCCTGCAACTGTAGGTGCCTTTGGAAACTCCTCTGAAAAGGGTCCAGGGCCTACTGCTTTTCAAGTTAATTCAATTCGGAGTGATACCAGCA